TCAGATCAGTCACTGGAAAAAGGGAAAAAGAAATGAGAAACGGAAACGCAATGTAATGACCGCAAAACCATTCGTCGTTCATATAAAAGTAAAAGTGTATGTTACGGAATTTCACGTGGTCATTGTCACAAAGACGGATAAGTTTTCACGTAAGCAAACAAACGAAAGTAGCAGCAAAACTGAATTGAAAGAATAGCATGGCTAAGTACGGTGATACAGCTGTAAATCTAGAGAGAACACACCTATGTCATAAGCATATAGTAAGACAGCCAGCAGGCAGGTATTGCTATTTCGCATAGAAACAAGAAAAATTGGATTGGAGTAAAGGAAGAAAAGGGAATGTTCGATCATAAAGCGACTTACTCCGAAAGAAGTGAATAGACACGATCCGAACAGCCCTCACGTCGGATGTTCCGAGCAAAAACGGCCCTTCCTGTGGAACAGGAACAGTTGGCTGCCGATATTTTATAGCTTTACTTTATGATTAAAAAATGCACAGTCCAAAACCTCTGGTGGTCTCATGCAAAATTCCCGAAAATTCGCGAAAACTATAAATTGTAAAGAAGTACACAACGCCATAAACGATATTTCATCACTACCAAATCGTCATCGAAAAATTGAGTTTGCAGCTGAGCACTGCGCAGTATTCTGAGATCTTTAGAAATTTATCTCAAAAGGTGACCACCTTCAGTTAGTGCAGAATTCGATGGCTAATACACGACTGAATAATGTGGTGCTTTTTGTCTGAGAAAAGAAGTGTACATTGTCCCAGAATAGTCGCCAATTGCTGGTAATAAGTTGCCAACTTAAATTGCGTACTGCGCATGAACCAGAATTTTTAGGAGACAGCCATCCAATGATAAAAAAGAGAGAAAATCTTGATTATCGAATCAATTAACAATTCAAGGTAATGGCGCTAATTTGAAAAAAGAAATGATTCAAAAGAAGGAATATAATTCACTAACATTTGCTGGTCAAAATGAACACTCTGATCGATATGGCGAGCTTTCGAGAACCATGTAGCCGACGGAAGGACAGCGAACGTTAAAGCATCTCATAGCAACTAGGTGGAACCTTCAAACATGCATACACTAATACTCTCCAAATCACAAAGGAATACACAGAAAAAAGTGATACGATAGGCACTGGAAATACTGGAGTAATAACGGTATCGCTACTTCTATTCTGACAATGATGAATTAGTAACCTTTAAATAGTTGAGTAATTAATGACAGCACCACTATCACTAGGCATTCTGAGGTTGTGCCAACTTCTGTACGACCAAGGTCGCCTGGCACCCAGGTGCGAAGCGATTTCAATTAAGTGTAAGACCCCATGGTCCTCATGCTGTTTGCATATCGTTATTAAGCGATTCAGAGACAAATAACAAAAGAGATTAATACCAGTAAGAAAATTAAGCATCTTGAGAAAAATAATGATCTAAACTGAAAAATTTCAATAATGCCGGTTCACAACTTTACCTTTGTGTAGAGGTGAAGTGTGAAATGCGGAACTAGCCAGATTTTTCAGCTCATTTTTTATAGAGCTATCAACCTTAATCTTATTGAACCTTTTATTTTGCGCAAAAATTCCCCTAGCGAGTTACAGTGAAATTTTCCTGCTGAAAACCTTATTTCCATAGGAGTTCCGGTTCCTTACTATTGTTATTCTCTTGAATCAGNGGAGTGAAGAAATCTCACTCGTACAGAAGTTCCAACAGCCATGTTCTGATCACGTGAGTGAATACCGGGCAACGGCCCATTCTGGATTCTTTGGCTTTCTCGAAGAAAGCCATTTACAATCGTCTCTCTATTTCAACCTTCAAAATGAAGTTCATATGCCTGGAAACTGTACCGCCTGCATCAACATGAGCTCACGGCATCCATCAACCTCAAAATACGGATTGTGAGGATAAACAGAATCATACCCTCTCAGCGCTTTTCTCTGCGATAATCTTATTAGGATCCTTCACCCTGCAGAAGAAAAGAATCACAACAGAGAATGATCAGTCTCCAAAGCGGGCAATCTATAACACTACTGAATGGTTCAGCCCGCATGGAGTCGCCTACAACACAAGCCTTACTTCTTCACACATGTTATTTGGACGGCTTGAAATCGGCGCTAAGCGGAATGGCAGACGATTGATGTCCAGCGGTCCACCATGGCGGCTCGCTTTCAGAATAGAGTCGACCGTTTTGAACGGTATCCCCAGAAATTGTTTATGCACAGGTAGCCTGTCAACCGAGGAAGTCTCATTAAAAGCCCTATTAGAGGAGAAAGCAAGGAGGCCGAACCTGGTTCTGCTCAACCTTTTTGCGAAGCTGCTGCTCAGTCTGATGCCAAAAGTCTCTGGCACGTCGAAAATAAGAAAGCTTTTGAAGTGTGCACTGATCTTACAAAGGCACGAAAAACGACACTGCAAGAGTGAACACCTAGTTTTGGACGTGCTTGGCACAAACGTTTGTACATTCCTGCACCACGTATATTTCCTTTCGTTGAAACTTCAGTTTAGAATATGACACATATTCGCCCTAACGCCCCCGCCTGTTGGGTAATGTTATCATAAAACGTCGACAATGTCATGATATAGACTGCCTACGTTTTAGTTCTGTTTTCTTCCGATTTTCCCGCCTCCAATTCTACATCTGAGCTTCTACTTGAAACTCATCTGTTTCTTATCGAACAGTACCTAGTAGCTGTCTACTAGTTTGATCGTAGGAAAAATAACAGTCCACCCAATCGGTAGCCGTCTTCAACAAGTATTTTTGTAATGCCGTAAGAACAAAAAGAATGAAAATTTTTAGCCAACCTTCAGAAAACACGACACTCAACTAATATATAGGCAGGTAACTGGAGACCCATTCAATCCTGCTCAACCCCATGTTAATCCGAAATTTCGAATAAATAACCGCTTCCCAATGAAATAGAGTGCGACCTAGTGATAAGCTTGCCTGAAGAACTTCTTGGGACTACAAACACTGCAACCCCTTGTTCAAAACAACACATTTAATATTTTAAATATTTATTCACAAACTCAAAACGGTGAAATTTCAATTGATAACACTGGCACTAATGATTGTGTACAATAAACCTCGGTACATAACATGTCACGTCAGCCATCATGGGCCTTGAATGGTACTGACGCGAGATCGAGGCGACGATCTGTCGCAATGCTTTCTAATGAGGGATTATTTATTACATCTATATATCTGAGTTCTTTATGGCACACAAAGAACGGATGGTATCGCCTCGATCAGAAATTGAAAGGAAAGGCATAGACCAATATTAACCGAAAACTGAGAGCACTGAACACGATGGCGCGACGACGACGTCGAAGATGATGTTGAACGCCAAAAAGGCGACATCCGAATAGAAAGCGACTTATGGATCGTCGTTGTCGTTCATCGTCTTCATAGGAATAACATGACCATCCTGCATGTTTGGAACGAGCAAAAAGCAATGCCAAACAATACCAGAGAAATAGAGAGCGTTATAAATGCGCTGCTTAATTTTTGTAGGATATATCAAGTGCAATGTTGCAGAATCGTCTCAGCAGCACAGCATATACACGCAATAAATCTAGTACTACACATAGACACACACATAAAGACACTCGGAAGGTAACAGACACATAAAAATAAAAAATAAAAGGAAAACCTGCATGAAGAAAGACACGATCGGGTCCGTCGTGATGGTTGGTTGATTGGCTGATTGTGGATGAACATTGTTTACGATCATATGATGGTAGAAAAGGACGTAAACATGGATCTGATCTAATTCCACTCATTCAACGGGATACGCAGCGTTCAAGAATTTGAGTTAACAATACGCACATACTAGTAAAGAAGTCTTATGAATGAATAACAAACTTCCTATGATACTAAACAAACTTGGAAAGGCAGTGCTTTGTGTGATATTCGCCATACTGCGATCCCGACGCTAGTAACAGAAGAGATGAACAATGAGAAAAATGAATGATTGTCAGAATGAGTGGTGTTTTTGATGATCGATAGGAAAGGGAAGGGGACATACGGGGGACAGAGGGAACGGTAGGGAGGGGGAGGTGTTGAAGTGAGCATAAAACAATATGAATGAGAATGTAAAAACATAGATAAAGACGCCGTATTTCATAAGAACCATGTCGAAAGAAAAGAAGAGGAAAAAATGGAATAAAAACACTACTGTTGTAATTCACATATACATATACGTGAAGAAATTCAACATGGAAAGAGTATGGTAATGATGATACTGACGACGATGATGATTTTGTTGGTAGAAACAAAAATGAAAGAATAGAAGAACAATTTTTTAAGCCTATTTTTGTTATCATAGATATTTTAAATTTTTTTGGCCGGTCAACAACAGTTGGCTGTGAATAGCGAAATAATGATGAAATGAATGCATTCCAGATGACAAGCCGAGCAACTTAAACGCACTTAACTCAAATCGCTCTGTTGAATACAACAACAGCCATGATGCGACCGAATTTATAAGTTTTCATATAAAAAAACGCAACTAAATATAGAAAATTATCTAAACAAAGATGTGATGAAAGGAAAAAGAGAAGAAAAAACGAAACAAATAAAACATTAACAGGGGAAGTCGAGCAAACGAGATAGTTGGAGAACGAGAGGATCCCGGAATGATTGATGATTGATGACGACGGTACGCGACGTTGATATCACAGAACTTACTGGGAGGCGTGATTAGTGAGATCGTGTGGTAACATAGAGTAAAACAATCACTCATTGCTCAGCTGCTGTGGTGACTGGAATTTTTGGCGGTGATGGTGGCAGACAGGATGATATGGAACCGTTTTGTCGTGATATCCGACGACTTCGTGATTTTGGGTGTCGTTGTAAAGGTACAACGTTCATGTTCGCTACATCTGCCATCCTGAAAAAGGCTCTGATTCGCGCTCCTTCTCTGTTCATTGCTTGTAGCCGACATAGGGAATACATTGAATAACGGCAGAACATGGACCTGCCGAGGAGCATAACTCACCGATCATGATCCTGGTCTTCACCATAATCGCTTGAGCTTGAACTACCACTACTACTTGCTGCACTATGCGCTGTGCTTATACTGCTTCCGGAACTGCTTCCGCGTGGTGTAGACCGCCTCGAGTGGCCACTCATCGGTGAATCACCAGCTGTTGAGCCGGCACATATCTCACGTGTTGAACTATACGATGATACGTAGACCATCGCACTGGAAATAAAGAAAATCTGCAAAAACCATTTCAGTGAAGGAAAAAACACAGTCACTCCGGTAGCGTGCGCTGAGCACATTCGTTTCTACTGAGTTTTGTTGAAGAGTTCAAAGAGCATCAAAAACCTATTTATAAGAGCTTAAGGCAAAGATCACAACACTTACCCTCCCATGGGAGCATTCACCGTGATCGGTTTGCAATTAAGCAATCGTTGCAAATCTCGCGTAGTGTCCAACTCTTGATGCGCTTCTCGGAAAGCTGTTTTGATAGCATCAAACACCATTTCATCGTAGATTGAATGTGCGGTATTCGAATAGGTGAACGGTTCCTAATTGCAAGGATGAAAACTGATCGAAGCATAATCATATCTCACCCACAATTCACAGAATCTCACTAACCTCGATGCATATGCATCGCCATTGTGACCGCCAGTTGGTGCCGTTCTGTTGGTAGCCCCCATTTGGTCGTTGTCGCGCGATCACTGCTCGGTCGATTCGCTTGCCGAGTCGCACAGAAATAGCATCACGGTCGTAACTGTATGGATTGAGTGACATTTATACTTGTCTGTCTGATCCAAATGAAAGCCAGCTTACTCGAATTTATTCGCATAGTAGTCGAGAAAGCCAATGAGAAGTTCGCCAAGGGTCGACTTGTCTGCATATTGCCATTCCCCTGCAGGTGGTGGTTCCAGTGGTAAAGTTACATTCAACGTTCGCACGTCGCATTTATTAGCAAATCGCCGTGGGAACATTTGTTGTAACGACGGAAGCACGCCTGGCTCCGTCCCACCTGAAGGTCATCATATTCAGCGAATAACATCACCATCAACGGTCAGATAGAAACTTATTTCTCACATTGAAGATAATGAATGACCATGAGCACAAGGGAGTAACTGGTGAACGACGATCGATTCGCATCGTTAATACCTTTACGCTTCGCCCATTCCTTCACCACTGATACCAACGGACGAACACGCCAGTCAACTGAACAATAGAAAGCCATAATAACATTACTGACCCGGTCTCTAGTAAAGACAGCTCGCACGGCGATAACTTACAGGACGAGTAATAGCAAAGGAGGTGGGTATTTTTGATGGCAACCGAGTTATTCGCGTTCAAATCGACCGTGATATCTGAGAACGGTGGCGCAAACTTTATTCGTAGTATGGGGACCTGGAAAGCCAAACAGTACTTTGAGCAAACACCAGGCCGGAATCTACCTGATGCTACATATAAAGCTGCAACTATCACATTTTACCTTAACCCATTTTTGAGCTCACCTTGGCTAAGATCAACTTCTGATGCGATACCCATTCCGTGTGTTGCAACGTGCTGAGTATCATATTCAGCACTACAACAGCGTCGGTTTTCTGATCAAGCTGAAATAACACTAATCAAATAATATAAACGGGAAAATGAATTCCAAAACTGGAACCTAAAGGGATGGCAAAACCCATTTCGGAGATGTTGAACAAATAGCGTTCTAAGACGCTCAGAAGTTAAAGTAAAAAGGAAATAGATTGGTTATATTCACCTAGATGGATGAACAGAATCAATTCCTGTATCTTTCGCAATTCGACATAGTCCAAAACCGGTGAGCGACTTGCGGAAGCGCAAGAACGCCATTGGAATGCGAGAACTAGTTCAGCTCGGATGAACACACAGAACAGTTGAGCGATTACGAAAGAACCAAGCTTTTAGACCGTGCGAAAATGCATGATACTCTCACGAAAACGCTATTTTCACCCACAGTTTGTCTCCTACACACACGCTGCCACAGCGTAAGAACATCATAATGCTTAAGACTAGGTTGTAGCCCTCAATAGCAATGTCCACAACTCACATCCTTATTCGTGATCATTAAACATAGATCCATGTCAGATGTATTGTTGCCGAAGCCATTTAGCGACGATCCAACGACGTACAAACCGCACACTAAAAACAAACATCTTAAGTTATTGTAATCCAACCTACATACAATCACGATGAAGACCCGTCATGCAACTTTTTTCAGTACCGTACTAGCTTCCTGAGCAGCTGGGTAACACAACCACTTAGTGCCTGTGTATTCGATTTATCCTCCCAAAGAGCATCAAGTGAAAGAATCGAGACAGCTGCCTAATATTTGTATGCGAAACATTTGTAGACAAACGGCACTACCTCAGTTTACAGCGTTTCAGATTGTCTATAGAATTATGGATAGTGTGATATGACCACCATACCTAACATTCAAGGAGGGTATAACTAATTCCTGAGAACATGAAGATATGCACGACAACATAAACATCTGATGACTAATTTTGAAAAAGGAGAAAAAGGGCGATAATGGCGCGACACCATGACAGGAATAGCCCAGGTTTCAGACCCCTCCCAAAACAATAAGGTTGCACGGCAACTTTCATACTAGCGGTCTATCAGACTGGCCAAGTTGGACCTCAATTACAATTGATGTAAACTGCGGCATACGCATGACCAATGCCATGATTACAACCACCACACAACCGCAGCTATTACCCGATAATCAGGAAGAAGTGACGAAAAAGATAGGGTTGTTCCACATCCTCAACAGTGAGTTAACACCCCCGGAAAATTAGGAATCCTCGTATTCACTCAACATTCTGTCAAAATGCTATCGAGAAGAAGTATTGTGAATTAGGAGGTCAGTTAACAAATCTCAAACAAAGCTTATGTCGATGTGTAGGACGATTGGGTACCGATACCGCAGGCGTTATAAATGTGACACACGCAGACCGTCTTGGGAGAAGAGTATCGCCAAAACTAACATCAAAGGTATGATCTAATGATCAGAAAAGTTTGTAGCCCAACGGCGGTGTAGGGCATGGAAATTTCGCATGTAGAAAATTCAGCACTCACTTGGAAACACAGGGCAGATCGAATAGTAGAGCATATCGCGGAGATGCAACTTTCGATTGAGCATTTTTTCCGATTGCGTAACCGAATTATGATAGTGCCAAATTTCTTCACTCAGCTGTAGTAATTAAAAAATTAATACGATGCAGGTGGGTACATGAAAACTTGATATTTCGGGAAACCTACCACATCCATTTCAGATATCTCGTATTGAATTGGGCGACCCAACTGACTTGTCGGAGGTGTGGGACAAGTGGGAAGTGTGAGTGAAGATTCGACCGCGACGACGGCAGCAACGGTGGCGGCAACGGCGGTCGCAGTGGCTACCGACGCTTGAGCGCTCGATGATAAACCGGAAGCTGCCGCTGCGGCGAATGTCTGCGTTCCGGACGTCAAGGTATTCGGATCTGAAATAATTAATGAAAAAGTAAATCAATCAAACAATTGCTATACAGTTAATTCCTACAATATCGTAGTAATCAACAACAGATACACGCTACGAAAACCTGACGCTGACAACCATTCCCTTCTAAAGGGGGCGAGTGAAAGGTCGTGCTATCACTGAAACACAAGTCGAACAGACGCAAAACACCGGCGGTGATTAGTGTCTGCTGTAGAAGCCGACAAAAAAAAAGTTCCGCGTTCATGACTAAAGTGAAGAAACAATACAAATGGCGACTTGTTCGCCCGCTTAGTCATCTAACCTTTGATGAAGCTTCAAGTTCCCATACTTTACATCTCGACTATACACAAGAGGAACTCAATTTGAAATACCAAATCACTAGAAACCAGCAAACGAGGGAGAAATACAGAAGAGGGCACGAATTCATGACTTTCAACATTATGAAACGGTTGCTATAATAGAAACTTAGGCACCAAGTTTGTATTAGGCACAAAACATCCTAATCACTTATGAGAAAGACCCATGCAATCAAAGAGAAGACAAAGAAACACTTACAACATAAACTTACTTGATGAAGAATTCAACGGTTTCGCGATTGCTTTGGAACCACACGCCACCACCGCTGACGAGCTATTCGAAACTAAAACTCAAATTTGCATAATCTTCAATATTATATGCGATCGCGCATACTGACATAATTTGAAACGCTCAAAAGTAGAAAATATAAAATGAGAAAGGAACCACGACAGACTACACCCTACCCTTATCGTGCAAGCGTGTCCTCTCTCAAAATAGAGAAAAAACTAATGCAATAAGCTGGACTTTCTGAGAAAAAAAACTATTTACCGTTAGAGGTAACTGGAAACTCGGACTTTTAATTGGCCGAGCGATATGAATCTGTAGCTGTGGGAAAAATGAAGCTTTCATACAGTACGTAGCTGCCCAGCTGGCAGTAGCAATTATGAGTGGAGTGTGAGAGACGGAGTGTCACGAAAGTGAAGCATGCCGGGGAGACGGTGGGTGTCGCGAGAACCAGCTAGTCACATGCGCTTGGAAACAGCGATGGTGATGTGCGATGCGCAAATGATCGAAGATCGAAATTAGTGATGATGCAATCTTTCACAATACCTCGTGCCTCGGTCCTGTTTACAGGTGATCTAAAAATATCGCCAGGATCACGGATATCAACTGTTAACCGCACACCGCATGCAGGTACCGTATTCCATCCCACATCGTCAGAAAACAGGTACTATGCAACTACAGGTTCGAGTCTTTATAAAAGAGCGGATGCACGAATGCATGCATACAAAGGAGTGAATGACGTAGTCGCCCGTATAAAAAAGTAACAGTAATCTGTGAGTACCGCACGTGGACCGTCCGATATGGGATCGAAAGCAACTTCCGAAGTTATGCACGTGATGATGAGGCAGACAAAGAGCCGCTCTTCTCGAAGTTTCGACTCACCCGAATGGGTGATTATTGGTCACAAAATTCGGACTCTTCCGAACACCACTGTCATCCAAACCTTTTCAAAGATCCCGTTATTCCTTTTTGATTTTAAAAATCCATCACGGCATTGGAGTGATCCAAGAAGGAGAAAAACTGCATTACGCGCGGAAGGAGAGAACACTGACAACCACTTTTCCTACTTAAGCATAAATGCGCGAAATAAATGAATATCCTGGAACCCGGATACAAAATCTATCGAATCAACACATTCTGCAACAAATAGGATTGACTTGGACGAAGCAAAAAAAAAAAAGTTCGCCTCCTTTTCACTCAAATGCCAACATACACTTCGTGAAATCTATTCAACGGTCAGGAGGATAGCTGTAAGCCGTGAAACATTAGGCATTCGAATGTCAAAAGTTGCCGATTTTCGACCCGTCGATAAGGACCTTATTTCCCTCTGTTCCGAAGAAAATGTAATAGGAACCACAGAAAGTACAAAGCCGAATACTAGGATGTGCACAAAACTGCGAGAAAACATTTGGTAACCTTATCATCCTTCTCAAGCCATAGATGGTCTGAACTTGGAATAAGTCGGAGAAGTTTCACTGCCTGCCAACAATACCAAATCGTAATAACTGGTTGACATTGCGTAATTTACAAAAAATCCATTCAATGACTGATGACATGGTAGGCTCAAAGCAGAACCTAACAAAAAAAGAGCTGTCTGAAATTCTTGTTCGCCCCAACAACTGACGTAGAATCCCTTGGAAAGAAACCGTTCCTCGCTTGCAAAAAATCAATGATTAGTGGAGCATATAATAGCCAGTAACGAGCGAGAATCGTTCGAGCTATATGTGCCAATCACTCAAGGAACTCTACCAGACTCTATTAATCCAAGGAGAACAAGCCTGCCTGACCGATAACTCTGCAACGGGTTTTGTTCCAAAAAAAGTCGACCACAGAATAAGAAAGGCAATTAAGGCAAAGATGATGTTCGCTGTATTTCTATGGAAGACGCAAAGGAAACGAATTGTCATACAAGCCGAATCCGGAAGCACCCGAACAAAACTCGAACATCGAAAAAGGCTTGAACGAAGAAAAATAAACCACGAATTGTTCACAAACAAATATGACTGGGGAAGTCTGATAAGAGAGAGAAAAATCGTAGACATTCTTCTAATTCCCTCAAGACGGAGCGTAAACTGCGGATCAAAAGTCTGTACTCTCAACACTGAGTTCTAAAACTCCAGGCAAAGCTTTTCGGGCACAAAACAACCTAGGTCAAATACAAGTCACCTAATGACGCTCCTAAGAGTCATTGACGACAACGATGTGAGAGTATGCTCGCGAGAAAAGATCAAGCCGTGAACTAATATTGACAAGAGCCTGGAAGAAGCAATCTTCCTACACCACAGAAAAGTAGCCAATGGTGAAGATGGGAGTAGGTTAACTGGTCATGTTGCTCAACGTATGCGATTGAGCTAAATGTGTTGGCAGTCGTTGAGTCGATGCCACTGCACTTTACAGCAAGGCCTCGAAGGTTCTCGCAATCTAGCGCGCGATTAGCCGCCTACCAATAAACTGATACATGCATATTTTCCGTTATTGTGACCGGTCTGCCAAATGGGATTAATACGGTCGGTTTATTACCTTCAAAATCATGACATTCAAACGGAATTTCTGTATAAACTTTGATTTTTTACAGATTTTCAGAATGCCGATTAATAACTTTTACTTATTCAGATGTATGACATTATGGAGGTCAAAATCAAAAGGTTCCGCTCGTAGTAACTGAGAAACAAGTTATTTTTTCGGATAGAAAATTTGTTGTGACATTATTTGAAGTATGCGACGTCGGCGACCTGACCCAAGCAAACCTATGCGATGGGATGTGATCGGCCCGATTATCGATCACGTGTCGACGCAGTGTTCTAGAACAAAACTGCATCTCTGGCGCTCTGATTGTTATTCTAATGGGAGAGTTTCGAACCGGAACATTCCTATTTCCAACATTTTTTCCAGAGTATCGACAGAATATCATATGATTCAGAGTATCTAAAATAGTTCCCAAAAATTTCAGACATAACTGGGTAAACAGCTAATTTTGGAATCCCACGAGCACCCTCTTATCCCCACGTGATCACTCCGGATAAACTCAGCCCATCGCATGAAAGGCGCGTCAAGCGCGTGGGATATGAGGGCATGAGTGGTGTTAGCNCCCCCCCCCCCCCCCTATTGTCATAAACACAAACTACCCTCAACAACATACCCTAGCAGCAATTGTCATATCTATCTCTATCTATTTAACGTATCTGTATCTCCCAAACCTACAATTGTCCACACGAAGTTTTTAAATGTGATCGTTGTAATTGACATTTTTCGCTACTAGCATTACTACGTCAAAAGGCGCAGAAATCACGCAAGCAGTACGAGATAACACACAATGTGAAACACTGTTGAGTCTCTTATCTTTTTCACAGTCAACAAAAAAGAGAATCATTAATTACCGTGCCTGGCCTTGGATCAGTCGTGCATACGCTTGCAGTTTTATTGCAATTAGGCAAAATTGCAAAACTACGGTAGCTGCGACATATTTGAATATATAAATTTATGAGATGACAACTCAAGCCCCTTTTAATGAAAAGAAATAATAGCTTTTACATTCAACAGCTCAAACAGCAGGATGTACTAGAACGAAAAACGTACCAGACTGTTGCGACTTCGCAGGCAACGGCGGTGATGACTCGCTTTGGTAACCGCTTTCCCCTGTAATACAACTATTCATGCGACTTGAAAGGAAAACATGAATGGAATTCCATTTCCTCCTAAGAATGCGCATAATTTTAAGCCAGACCGATCATAGGTGACACCATTACTTTGTGAATAACCGCCCTTTGGATCTGATGGAATAGAAATGAAACCAACCCATTACATTGGAGACCTTTGATTAACACAAATGGAATACACTCTATCGAGCCTAGCAAAAAAAAAACGTGAACAAAGTCGCACAGGCACCACCGCTATTTGGTGTTAAACGCATTTGTTCTCTCATTTTCACACTTGGCGGAGAATGCATTACTGTACGACGACTGCACGTTCCAAAAACACTTGGCCCAATCTGGTGGCAGTAATTTCTAGCACTTTCCACGGTATTAACCCACATAGATTGAGAAAACAAATAAAATCAACCAGCCGTGTTCCTGTATGTTTCCATTTCGCTATATCATATCCGTTCCACACTTCCACCTAGCTTTACATTTATCTCTTCACAAATTAGGTGAAATCCCCAAAATGAAGAAATAGTAGTAAACTGTTCCACGAATCATAATTATGTAATTCCTTCAATCTCCCAAGCTCCCAATCTTTCGATAAGAGAACGCTAAGCGCTCGACTCTAGCATCAAAAGAAATCGTCATTAACTGAACAAGCTTGAAATGACACCTTGAATTACCGAGGAGTATAATTTCATGTACAAAGCAAGAATGGTCAAGATAGGCTACTGACTACTTGAATGGCATGTACGAAATATAATTTCATGTAGCGTTGTCCTTGAAACAACTGGTTCAAAACATTCTGTTGTAATGAAATTTTCTTGAAAGAAATGATCAAACTAATAACAAGCAAAACATCACCTATGATCCTTGGTAATACGAACGAGTATGCCGGTAAACTGACGAAACGGAGGCTTGGCTCGCTGTAGACTTCCAAAAATTTGCTGTAACGATGGGCTTGTTCAATATATTCCAGCTCCATGTCGGTTAGAGGCTCAACAACACATCCCCTTTGCCAGGGACGTTCGACATGTCGCCGATCTTCTTCTATTTCATCATCTTCAACATCACTAATATCGCATTCATCATCGCAGCAGAGTGCGCTTGGCGATGCGCATGTGCCTCGCCCTGAATCCTCTTCACCATGCTCACTTCGTGACGACTGCAATATCGATGACTCGCTGCAGGCACTTGAATGTGAGGGCGATAGCTGTTCACATTCTTCTGGCTGCTCTACAACACTGTTGAGAGGTAGTTGAGCAATTGGTATGCGATAAAATGGAACAGCTGCGTTCCTGAGAAGGCGTCGTACAGGCCTCGACCACGAGTCCTCCACAGAGCACGACGGCATCGATATATCAGGCAGCACGAAACGCGTGTCAACGCCTAATGATGCCATAAAACGATTCGACGCCGATGGTACTTTAGCTTCAAGCACCATTTAAATAACGAATAAACTCTCTCCAAACCGAACTCGAACAGCAACCAATAACTTCAACAGTAACAATATGTATCTACTCTGCTTCTTTATGTAAGCCTGCTTATATATCTATGTAAATGGTTATATTTGCCGCGTTCGTTGCGGCACGAGTATGACGAGCAGCCTCCTCTTTATCTAACTAGTACATCCAGCGGTTTTTCCACTGGCCTGGTAACCGTACACTGGACCTCAGTTGACCCTCCGTAGTTTTCACCTTCGTAGATATTCGCATTGGGCGATTGAGGAGGCCGTAACAGATAACGACACCTAAACGTTCCCACATTCTATTACGATTTCCTCGACAAACGGGTGAGCAAAAACCGAGAAAACTTCCACGAAATGAAATTGATGAAAGCGGGGATGCATTAATCAATTCATTGAATGTTAAAAAAGAGCACGTCGCTAAGCGTAGCTATAAACATTGTAAAATAACAGGAACAGGAATGTACCCCCATACAATGAGTTGTTATTGGAACACGCTTGAAAACAGATAGTGATAATGCTAGTGTACTTTGACTAAATCTCCTACGTCAGAAGTAAAAATTGTCGAGTAGCCGTTAGGAAACTGCTACGTCCTTCCTAATGAAATTTACGCCTGAGAGTTTCGAATTAGATCGAGGATTCAGCAAAGGGAAATGATAGAAAAGACTCAGGAATTTACGCCTCGACTCTTCCCAGATGAATTTCTCGTTTCTACCCTAAGAACATTTGAAATCAATATCATGGTGAATGTCGTAGTGATTCAGGGAAGAAAAAATTCCAATCATTCTACAACAATCCAGTTAGAGGTATTGCAGGGTATCACTTGTCTGCTGACGCCAGTATGCATAATAACTTCTAAATAGCACCATACTTGCCATACCAATTATGGCATATCGCTATTAGACCTTGAAATGTACATCGGAAATGCTTTCATACATAATTGCAGAGCTTTTTGAAAAAAAAGCGATGACGTCTCCGATCACACTCGGTTTTCAATTTAAAAACACCCTTTTCTGCCTTGTCCATCACTTCCTCTACAATAATCGAAATACATTTGCAGCCACCAAAAAATTGACAGCTAAACGGCTGTTCCCATTCAGCGACCAGCCAATGAAGGATAACTATAATAGCAGGCAGGAAAACTGCCGACGAACGGATCATTAGTCCTTCTATTTGACTGAGTCCAGCGACATTCTGAAGAGTAATTTACGAGAACGCTACTCAAGGTGCTCCAGGTCAGTATGAGACGCAGATTACCGACAGAAGTATCATGGGGAAAGCATTCCTTTAGAACTTTAATCGAGTGACACCTCCTACATAGGCGCATACCAAAACTTCAAGAATAACCAGTACACTGCAAAACATAAAGCCAATCTTACATTTAGTTTTGCTCCCTACTTCTGCAGCATACAATTTGTGAAACGAGTATCCATTTGAGCTGTCAAACACAGCACTAAACACTACCTTTCGTCGTCCAGTTTGATCGAAAACACCCTTCTTCCCAAATAGGATTAATCAAAACGTATGAAGAAGATAACTACGAACGAGGTTTCTAATCAAACAATTTGCGGGTTCCCTCTATAACCTTGTGACTCTGCTAATATGGGATAAAAACAGTCGCACTGTTTCACAGCTTCTAGTGAGGCCCTAGAAAAGGACCCCCCATGAAACGCCGATAAGAAAATTCTGTGGAGAACGAGAAATGGTGTGTCTTGGTGATCGTAATGATAGCTGGCGGATTCCCTGACGACAAAAATCGAATCGAAAAACCTCGTGTAACGCAGGCAACCAAAATAATCAAAATTGGACGCCCATGAAATTACTAGAAGGCAGGCTACAGTAACTTGAAGACAATAAAGCTTGAGGTGGGACATAAATATTCAAGGCGGGCTTAAAAGTGTCGTGCAGCGCATAAAAGCACTGCGACGATTAAGCTACCACAATACGTCAGGTGAATGAGACACTCCCGTCTGCTAGCGAATAGATAACGCATTCCACACCATCATGATGGACAGGTCTCCCGGATCTGTCGCGACGACGGCAGGGACAATACTTCTTAGAGGACAGCGATGCCGACTGAAGAAGGAAGGTCTAGAACACGTCAATATAATTGCCTCAGAAACAGTATTTACACCAGCGGCTACAAGCAAGCGACCCACCGTATCGCAAGCCTCATCTAATGGGAGTAATGATGACAAGTAGTACGTCATAAGAGGCTATTCAACCCTCCAAAGGCTCATGGAAAAGCCTCCTATCACTCCAAAACTGGTACTTTTCGCTGCGGCAAAATCCGGACGACTTTCCCTCGATATTTTTTCGAGTGCTAAGATAATTTGAATCCTTAAAAACGTCACTGCGCACGAGCAACAAAGGGCAGTAGAACTATTACAAACGAAAAGGGCAGTATGACGTGGGGTAGAACTTAGAATAGTCCTCGTTCTCTAGCTGCACACGGCAAGAAAACACGAGATTAAGAGGGAAACGATCAAAAGCATACCCCTGGCTGTGCGTTAAATGTAGAGAGCCTGCAAATGTCAGCTTTCATTCCCTCCAAAAGACAATCGACGTTTAAATGTCAACCAAAGCAGTTACCATGCCCTTAATTGTCCCATGCGTGCCCATCACGTGCAGCAGACGCTATCGAACGTCTGCATTCGTGGAACTGCGAGCTAGCCAAAAAACCTTCTGCTACACTGGATGGCTCAAAAATGATAACCTGCCGTCATCCGAAATTGCTGTTTCACAAACTACCAGCTAGGACGCACGTACCTGCACAGGATGGGCTGGTCGAAGCTTTCGCAGAATTCAAGTGGAATTCGCCGAATAAAGACATAAAAACATTGACAAAAAGCCACACAAATGTTGAATTGTATAATGGCCGCTTGTCGTCTGATAAAAACGCCCATTGAAATATTTGGAAGTTTAAGCAGCTCAATTTCTTTAGGAACGTTCCGATAATAACTATGACTTATTGGTCGATTGAAGAATCCTCCTGATAAGACGAATGACAAGGGCAAGCTTTTCTAGGAAGCAGTTGGAGAGTGCAAGGGAACATGTCGTGCTTTTTCCTAACGTTCAGTAAGTTCAGAGCAATGATAAAGATATCAATGCCCCTAAAAAACACCTATAGACTCCACGAAAGCATCCACGGAGTATGGCTGACGATCAATAAGCACAGGGTCAAGCTCGTGAGGCGGGGTCGGCGATAGAGGTCCTTGATGGGGGAGGAGAAATCGTATTTGGCAGAGCAACGACGTGCCAGTCCGATAGCGATTGGATAAATCCTGAGTTCTTGAACGCAATTAATTATATGCACACCTTTTACGTGGCCGACCAATCATCTGGACCAAAATTTGTCTGGGAAGCCACGGAAAGGAAATGGGGACAAGCGTAAAACTCGGAGGATCTTCCGTAGCGGCCGAAATGTGGGTAAGCATCGTAAAACAAACAACATCAACAACAGACGGCTATTAATCTACCGAATCTACAAAAACCATGACTCATAAAGAATGATCGTGCGTAGATAAGCAACTAATTCAACCTACCAGCCTCCAGGTAGCGACAGCCGATTGCTTTGCCAAACAGGCAACAAAAAGTTCTACGAGAAGGATGTTTCTTGCGAATTCCTGCTCAAGCGAAAATTTCTCAAAAAAAAAATCAGTCAATAATGCCAATCCAATTGGGTTATATGGAACATTTCATTCACTTCTATTGACTGTTGGGGGGTTACCCTAGCTACAACCAAACCAATGCCAACATTCACATTCAGAACGCTCGAGAAAGTAATTACTGCTTAACTACCTTCATCAACACCTTATAGTAAAGCTTTAATCGATAGACCCGCAAAAGCATGACAAAACTGGGAACCTACCTGTTGGACACCTATCAGGAAGGGAGTGGAGTGGGGGTCGAAGGAGGAATAGAAACTTCTAGAGACTGCCTCTTTCATTTAATAAAAACAGCATTCAATTAGAATTACCAAGCTGTTCCACGCGGGGTAAAACGAATTGGAGAGCTGCCACTAAAAAAAAGCCTCAGCTTAAGAGGTGACAACGACGGGTCGTTTCCCGAGCAAGAAGATGTTTGCACGAAACATTTCCTGACCAAAGTCCCGAGCATCAAAAATCTACAGCCAAAAAGAATTGAAATAACCTCGCTACGAGCCACATTACCGCAACGAAATACATAACGACTTATGGATTCCAAAAAAAGCTACGATTTACTATAACCCTTGAAAAATGCACAATTGATGGTAAAATCGCTGGAATGATACACTTCGGAACTCACGTACACACAAAGGAAGGAATGTAAACGATACGGCGGCGATCTTCGGAGATCGCCGACGCTACACCTCCAAATTCGATCCAACCAATAAATAAACCGGTTTAAAATCGGTAATCACAGAGATCGAGCCAACCGAATAGTGGCCGACAAGTACGCTTGAATGTACGTAATCTCAGAACTTCTAATCTCACGGACTCGACTCCTCAAGTCGTATTACAACTGCAGATGTTTGATAAAGCATTATGAAGCGAGTAACGTGAAAAAAAAAGAACAAATTCATCACTTTAACGGATCAACATCCCACCAGAACGATCAATAAATCGAACTACTTCATTGAGATCAATAAGCTGACCACTTGGGTCAAAGAGACCATCAAGTTCAGAGAAACTTCTCGTACAAAGTCCTTGAATAGCAACAAAATCAACAAAAACCCGGCCGCCGGACAGACGGCGGCATTGCTACGCTGCGTAGGGCGGGAGGCGACCGCGCGGGCTCGCCGGCCGGCGCACCACCGAATCGAAGATATCGATCGATTGCCATCAGTTGAGCTGCCATTGCCAATGCCGACGGCAATCTGGGCCAAAGTTGATCACCGTTCTTTGGGTGGGTTTGCCCGGACAACGAATTTACCACGGTTATTGGTAAACAACTGCACAATACGAAGCCTACAATGCACAACAAGTCGCTCATCAACG